ACATTTTTACGACATCTTGGAAAACTGTCTCTTTAGGGTATTTAGGGACTTTACCCATTTTTAGTTGGGTTACTTTATTTATTGTGCAAATTCCTTAAATATTTTGCATATCAACTGTTTATCATATATAAAGTTTCAGAATGTTTTTGCCTAATCCTCCATTTTTATTGTGTTGATTGTTTCCTTTGCTGTACAGAATCATTTTTATTTGTAGTGCCATCCTGTTATCTTGTTTATTTTTGCTTTTGTTGCCAAGGCCAATATTCAGGGGCTTTCTCATTTTTTTCCCCTAGAAATTTTATGGTTTCAGATCTTACACTTAGGTCTTTAACCTATTTTGTGTTAATATCTTTTTTTAACGTACTGTTCCCTCTTCAGTGAACTTTAACCATTTGTTTATGGTAGGTCTACTGTCAATAAATTTTCTTCAGTTTTTCTTCATCTGAGAATGTCTTGATTTTTCTTTTATTTCCTAAGGGACATTTCGGAAGGATATAGGATTTTGTATTGACAGTTATCTTCTTTCAGCATTTGAAAAATGTTGTAGTACTTCCTTCTGGCCTCCAAGGTTTCTTTTACTTTCATTTTCTTTTATTAAAGTTTCTGCCATAGAGTGCATGTACTTTCCTGAGAGAGATAATGGGAAACAAAGTGAGAAATCACCCCCCAAGGGGATGGTCATGCAGCAATCCCTTCTCATGCATTTTCCTCCTGGGATTTTGGGCATGCATGCACATGCACCCAGTGTGATTTTTTATTTTTATTTTTATTATCATCATAATCTTCTTTAATTACATTGGATTACATATAACTTTACAACGTATTACATTGCTTTTTCAAAAGGGAATGCCATGCATGTCAGTCAATACAGAGACACTAATCTCCCCACTTCATCATTCAATATCTTTTCTATGTTTTTCCCAATCATTATTATTATTATTATTCTAATTTTTTTTTTTTGGAGAGGTTTTCGCTATAGGGCGTGTGCGCTCGCCAGACAGACAGACAGAGAGCCAGAAGGTGAGAAATCACCCCCCAGGAGGGATGGCCACGCCCCAGCTACTTATCCTCCCTTCT